CACCTTTGATGTGTTCGCTACGTGTGTGGTAGTGTGAAGCTGAACGATCTGTGAGTGTGGAGAGCGAATCGGTGAGTGGACGTTAGGACTCGTCTTTTCACCGTAGAAACGATAATCATTCAAATAACTGGTTCAATGAATTTGTTCTCCCATCCCACCGATATATTTTGTCGAAATTGCAAGTCGTTCTGGTTGACAAAACGAACCAAAATTCTGAAAGCATTTTTAAAATGAATAAAAGTTTGGCTGCGTGTTGATCAGAAAACAATTTCATAACGCATGTTCATATGGGCACCAAGTTTATAATTTTTCCCCTACGGTACATATCTTTAGTTTGCTTTATACGTTTATGCATAGTTGCACCAGTTGTTTTATTGATCGATCACAACTGAACATGGAATCTTTTGAAGTTACTTTTTGATCTCATAAGGATGCACTATTTAGATCACTGAGGGAGTCACTGTCCTAGAACACTGATAGTCTCACACACAATTACGCTTGTGTTTGAACTATGGTGCTGGTATCTCAGTGAATCACGTTGCACCATACTGATGAAGTGTGGTGAACAGAAACCGTGATAGCTACAAGGCAGTCTCACGGCATTTTCCATGATCTCACACTAAGGATTCGTGGTGCGGTTGGGAGTTGTGGTGGGGGATTGTTTACTGTTTTGTTTCACCTGCGTTGGGTGGCATTCCAGAAAGAGGAACTCACACACACACACATACACACACACATATATATATATATATGTATACACGAGAGAGAGGAAAATGAACATTGTGGCCCACAGAACTTATCCGAATCGATACGTTGTAAGATGAGCCACCATTCCCCAAGCATTTTGGTGCATACACAAGATCACCTTAAAGAATAATTACCGCAGAATGTTGTAAATGTGACAAATAAATGGAGATGCAACATTACACCAAATTGATTGTGTGAAATCTTTTTTCCTCTAACTTATCAACACTTATGAGAAACAATACGAAACCTTCCTATGTACGTGCCTTTTTCCCCAGGGCAACCTGAATGCTTTTCATTCATCACTTAACATCTAACACAGTGAGATTGTATTAAATAACTATTTCAAATTTAGGATTCTTTGTGCACATACCACCCCATACCAAAACATCATCATCCCTTATTTTGCTCGTATCTTAGTAAATCGAGCAAAGATTATTACTGACTTGGAAAATCGGGTGTCACATTAGGATTTTATCACATCCGTTTGTTTTTCATTTAGCAAATGTATGTTTTTTCAATACTTAATGTTTTCCTCACTGTGACTTGTCGAAAGTGCTGAAAATTCATCCTGTTGGGTGCATAAAGCTTAACTTGACTTGATGCAGTTTATGAACTTTTAGACAGTGGCAAGTGGTGAGCGATTAGTTAGTTGCAAACAATCATTACCACCGATTTATCAATAACGGAGGTATATCTTTTCAAACGATTATGGCTATCATTGCTATCATTGAGGTATTACTGACTCTCGCGAGCAAGGTAAACATCCAGCCGCCGCCCTCAGTCAAATAACTGGAAGTTCCGGATGTTCATCACCTGTGGTATGACAATTACGGATTTCCTTCTCGCCCGGTTGGAATCTTTACTGCTCTCTCTTTCTCTCTCGTTCGGTCGGTCAAACGCTTCTCACAAAGCACGGAAAGACATGACAGATCCAGAGAAGCTAAATCATTCGACAGAGCTCAACCGCTCGTTTGTGTGTGTGCCTATGTATGTTGGTGCTGGTTTGCGTTTGTTTAGTGAACCTGGAAAAGCACGGCTAAGGACACAGTTACAGGTCTTGTGTGTTTATCAGGCTCGAAACAGTGTGAGATGTAGGATTGAGTAATGAGGTGTACGGAGAAGGCTCAATTTTCTCACCATGACTCATCGTACACACACACACACGACATTTCCCACTGCCCTCTTTGGTATCCTGCACATGCTAGGTCATGGGAGCAGAAACGATTGGACACAAAGCTGCTTGTTAACCAGTTTACGCACACGCACACACACACACACACACACATAACGGCCCACGACTTCTATATAGCCATCAGTCGTTCATTGTGATGCAAATCATCATGACGATCTGGATGGAGTGCATTCATGTCCGACTGATTTGGACACTGTTATGGTTAGTTAGACAATGGATTTGTCCGCAGAATGACATCTTGGCTCAATCAAGAAGTGTCCACAACGCATACTATCTTCTTACTGTCGTTCTAACATACACACATGCACGCACAAAGTCACGCACATTCACATGTACACATCTCCTTGTTTGACTACAAAACACCGGTTCGCAGATGACCGGGGAGGTTAATTAGTAACACGATCGTCAGATGACCATTTTCTCCCTTATTCGCTATTATTTCTGAAAAGAAAGATATTCCGTAGAACTGTGGAAATGAACAAAAACTAATTTCCTCACATATTACCCAATATTATCATTCTTTGATCTGTGTCGTTGTCTGTAACCAAAAGTCAGTTCTCATCATTAATCTGTAAGGTGAAGAGAAGAATCGATCATGAGAAGTGGTTCGATTGTTATTTAACAGCTGGTGAAATTTCTCACCGTCATTCTATCATCCATTAGACACTATTGAGGCTGAGGAACAAAGGTGACACTATCCCAGTAGAAACAGTTCCCAGGGCAGAGCCAGCTGGATTGAGGGAAAGAGACGATAGGATGGTGTGTGTGTGTGTGTGTGTGTGTGTGTGTGTGTGTGTGTGTGTGTGTGTGNGTGTGCGGATCGACCGATAAAGTAAGGAAGCATCGCGAAACAGATTGATGGTCTTGTCAGAGTGATTACTTTCCACCGTTAACGGAGTTACTCTCGGTCGGGGAGATTATCACACCAATACTGTTACATTTTGTGTTCCTGTGTTGGTGCGTGGGCGTCTGTGGGCATAGGAAGTGGGTTTTGCCTTAACTATTCGTATGGACTCCCGATCCGAAGATAAATGATCCTATTTTTCGTTTAGCATTTTGTATCTGAGTGTGGAAACACATTACTCGAAATTGTGTGTTTGTGTGCGTACGCTAACGCTCACGCTTGATTGTATTCCACTCACCCAGAAGAAAAAGCATTCGTGTAGCAAACGAATCCATTAGGCATTGTGCGAAATTTATCGAAAGATTTTTAGGTCGATACATATTTGAAGAGCTCCGTTTGTTTTATTCTTTGATTAGTTTTCTTCTCACGGGCTGAAAAGTAAACCTTCAATGAACTTATTTGTTTATAAATTGTATGAACACGGCATCATGTACAACGAGCCTCTCTCCATTGGTTTCTTTACCAGTAATGGCTAAAATGATCTAATTTTCAACCCTTACGACCGAACTACAAAAGCGATCACTCACAGAATAAGAGAGAAAAATGCAACAGCAAGTGCAAACAATCCCAGGCACACTTTACAGACCAGGTATAGTTTATTTTATGTTAAATATAAGCGGCAGGAGGGGGCGGATGAGGTCATCTTATATAGTTGTCAGATACTCGTCTTAGTTGTATGACGAGCTTTCAACTGTAGTCCGTCGATGAAACTCAAATGTCCAAGACTCATTTATGCGAAGATCTGGCAGAAATATGACATCACACAAGTTTAATCCCGAACAAATAAAAGAAGCCATACAAAGGTCAATTAGAACTTCATATGATCTCAATGGAGTACTGCCTGTAAATGATTAAATGGAACAGTCACACACTGGACGAGCGGTTGTGACGAACGACTTTTCCACGAAAAGCATTCAGACCTTTCCACGTTTATCCTAGGTGCAGGATTGTTTGGCGTCTCGAGTTTTATTTCCAGTTTATATGAGAAACACGATCCTGGGTCCAAAATAAATACCTCTTATAGAACTTTACTTTATCTATCACATTAGATTTTATTCTACTGATTTTACCTGGTGCATAGTCTCAAATGTTCAGATTTACGTCAGTCTGAAGTTTCCAGAAATTAGGATAATAGCTGTGAGGTAGTTAAATCTGGGCATATGGTTTCAAGTTTTCACTCATCTCAAATTAGCGTTACTTCCTGATCATGAGAATGTGGCAGTACCCTGACGATCATCAAATGCAGTACGGGTGGAGTTCGATAGACTGCAAATCTATATCAGGAATTCGAATGGTACATTAAGATAAAAAAGTATAAAATAATCCACAAATGTAGGTTTCCGTATGAGCATGTGTCAATCAAATTCACTGGCTCATGGTGTAGGCGATTTTTAAAAGTTTTCGTTTGAATTGAAATCAAGCAAAATGAATCTGGAAAGGTGCAGAAAGTTTCAATTAAAAGAAGTCGGGAGTGATTTATGTAAGTTGATGGACACAGATCAGAAGAAAATCAGGAATTTGGTAATGACATAGCTGATCTGCACAGTACCCTCAAACAGCTTCAGATTTTTAAGGCGTCTTCGCTGTCTCCTTTAGTACAATAGTTACTCATTATCTGCGATTTTGATCATTCTTTAGAATTCCAAGTGGCCGACCACCTAACGTGAGGTTTAACGTTTTTTTTCTTTTTGGTACTTTTCAGTGATAAAATCCATGTTAGACACATAATTTTTATCGAAATCATGTGATCGAAAGATTTATTATCGAACATTATTTATTTCATTTTGTTCTGATACGATTGATAATGTTGAGCGATCAAAGACGTTTTGACGACAAGTTGATCGGCAACTCTCAATCAATAACCCTGTTTGTTTTCCGTCGATGAGGTAAAAAATTAGAACTCGCCTTCCTTACGGTGAATTATCGAATCAATGCTCATTTATTCATAACTATTTATCCTCCCGTTTCCTCACCCAAGCAATCCACCTCCATCGGAAGCGGACGGATTCTGTCAGGAGTTTCACAGTAACGTTTGTGGCAAATACTTGTTCGGACATCGCGTATTCGTTACTCGTGAATTTCAGCAAGCGCTTATTGAATCACAAATTTCTAAATGTGAGTATCAATTGCTTCCGTTAGGGCTACTGCTAATTTGATTCGTTTGTCGAAAACAGGTCTAATCTAATCTCTGCTATTCGGGATACGTCACTATGAAGATCAAATATTCCTTGCCATCTTTGGCAAAAATACATCATCTATTGTAAGGAAAATTGAAAAACAACAGATACGCTTTTATCGTTGATGAGACGTAATCAATTTTTTGATAGGTAATTATGGAACGGAAGAGACACATTCTTCCTTGAAATTGTAATGTCATTTTGAATGCGATCTCAGTTCATAACAGTAGGTCCCGTGTTTTCAACCTCAAAAGAAAGGATACATGTGAACCTTGTCTATTAACCATCAGACCAAAGTGAATCCTGGACTAACTGTATCCATTTCCAGAATCCGGTGAATGGTGTTATAGCAAAATGGCCCTTTTATAAGATAGTTCAAAACAAGACATCACCTATCTGAATTTGGCAACAGATCTATCCACGTGTGAATAAACATCACAGATAAATTTTGTTTTTACCTCAGTAGTGCAGTTAAGAAGTAAAGATGGGGTAGTTAAACAGAATGGGACAAACAAACATTGGCGGAAAACACAAACTGAACAGTTTAATTTTATATTGTGACCCGAAGTGAGAAGTGGTCCTGTCTCCCAATCCGTTTTGTGTGTCTATATATACATATAAATAGGACACCAGTGTTTGACGCTGAGAACGTTCTTATGTGTAATATGAACTTAAAGCCTGCCAACGTTCGACGGAGCTCGCCCGCGTGCGTATTGAACAAGCACTTCAAAATACACTTGACCTGCGCTGATTGTACCAGACCACACGTCTGTCTATAGCTCATCAATAGGCACGTTCGCTTATGAAAAATAAAACGATTGGCCTCAGAGTTCCTAGGCGTTCTGAGGCCAGTGGGTAAAACCATCAAATTCGTCCGCCTTGTCAACCACCCCTTCCTGGTCTGTGCATTGGTAGAAACTTGGATGGAAAGAGCACAACTTGACCGTAGGCAAACTGCAACACTCAACATTTAGGCTTGCAATCACTGCGTCCACCACACCTCAGAAAAGACGAGGTAAATCACTCGAGAAAGTAATAAGCTCTATGGGAAAGAAAACCCAATTTGGGGTTCTGTTTCATCCCCAGCCCAGCACTGTATCTGGGCTTTGAGCGTGGGAAGCTGGTGATAACATCCATCAGATGTCTTTCGGTGGAATGCAGGCTGCTAATTTTTGATGCTGTTACTTTTAGTAATAGAATTTGAAGTTTTCCTACCAATGCAATCACTTAAAGAGTTTTTACTCCGTAAAGTTTTGCATATGAGGTATTTAAGATAGTAATGCATCACTTCAATCTAGTTCCTGCAATGTTCAATGAGGGTACGATCCAACGAATCAACTTTGCTGTCGTTCGGTTCAGTACCACGCCTGTTCTAGCGGGGCCTTATGTGGTTCGCCGCTCCAATTCTCGGGGCTTAGGTTCCCGGTTGCTATCACTGAAAAGCGGGTCTTCGTAACTATGGGGTTTACTCCCTTTGCCGTTCATTACACAGAAATATGCGTAGTAAAGAAGAGGTGAACTTGCTAACAGAGTAGGACAACGTATTAATGAATCTTCACGCCTATTGAAATCCATCAACTGCTTGTTGCTTACCCACCTCTTTTCACAGTATTACACGCATATGTCACTGTTGAACTGTACAGGACGTAGAAAATAGCAGTAGCGCAATCAGATTTACCCATACTGTATTCAGGGCTGAACCGGGATTCACGTTTAACAAAGTTACGGGTAAATTGGAAATGCCGATTCGCCCAGAAGTATTACTACGGACGACCCTCGTTTTAATGTGGCTCTTTATAGTTGACGCAATCTGTGAGTCGCATAAAAAACATCAGGTCGCTTCCGTCGTTTACTACTATCAAAACTCCTGTTGCCCGTGAAAATAATATTTAGGCTAGCCAGCGATTATCCTAGAACACTGTTTCTAAGTATTGTTAGTTGAAATGACGACACAATAGGTGAGTTAATTCAGCAAGAAACGGGTGTACTTCGCAACTTGATCTCAATTGTAAGAGAGTCCTAGTTACACATGACATTTCCCCGTTGTCTAAAACTACAACAACAGATTGCTGATTGATATTTTGGAGGAACTGATACATGCACCGTATAACATACGGGATAGTTTTCAAAAGGAACCGGTTTTCAATGAAATTGTGCAGTTTATTTTATTTCCCTCTGTTCCAATGAATCACGCTCAACCGGACTATTTAACTTGGTTGAAAATTAAAATATTTAAACTCCGATATCCCAATTCTTTTGCCTAACTTTAATTTGAAATGTGTCATGGATTTTGTATTTCCACCAGCCCTTTTGTATATTGCCATTTTTTGAATGAATTAAAGAATGACCTATGTACCGCGATGATTCTTAACAGAGAGTTATCTCCTGTCCGAAGTAACTCAGTAAGTTGCACTTACGGTTGAGAAGGCTTACATTTAGTGGTAATCTAAGAATAACTAGCAAGTTGTCGATTGGTGCAATGAATCAATCACTCGACTAGTGCACCTACAAATCACCCCAGATCCGGTGAGATGAAAACTGAACTGTTCGCAGTATGAGTCACATATGCACGCGCGCGCACAGCTATGTACGCAAACGATCGGCATATTTCAGTATGTAGCCGAGCATAATGGTCCTGCTGCATATGCAAATAGGAAGCTCATGAAGTGGGTCAGCTGACGAAATCAAGTCACTGGGGATGGTGGGGGTGGCCCTGGTATTGGTGGGGATGAACCCACTGTCTGTCACTCAATCACCTGCAGTGCCCACTCGACCACCCAGGTCAACTTGCCAAGCACGTGGCTACTGTTCACATGTCTCCGTTCGTAAAACCCGTCAGCTGTCCCCATTTCTGCTCTATTCTTGTTCTAGCGTTCGTAGATGCACATCGGTATACTTATTTCCTTTCACCTGAATGCACTTGCTCAGGAAGTGCGGCTACGACCAGATTTGTTTGTGGGCGGTAGGCGCCGTTTCGGACCTTAGGTTCATTAACTAGACACGAAACTAAATACCCTCTTACCCATTTCATTCCCGGAGCCCAAAATCTCAGCTTTCGTTGGGAACACCTGGCTTGTCAACTGGTCTGATTGTCTGAACTGTATCAGATAGATCCGGAAGTTTTACTGCATCTTTTAGAGCCCTCAGTGTGAATTGCGATCGTCACCGAGTTGATGGTAGTGGGCGGCAGTTCGCATCACTAGTCTCATATTGCTTTGCTATGCTGGCTTAGCAACCGTCCACGTGAATCATTTTCTAAAATATTCGCAATGTCTTTCTCCGTCTATTATCTACTTTACGTTTAATTGCTCCACACCAATGGGAACTAAATCTGAATTCAGTATCCAGTATAAGAAAATGTGCTGTCCGTTTATGAAAGGAATGGATGTACCCATTTTCTTGGGTCATTTTTGAACCCAAGTTGTTTACGTTTTTGGCACGCACAGATTTTCAATCACTTCCTCCACCCCCATCCCCGCCCGGATAAGATTTGCGTGCTTCCAGAACGTGACCATGTAACTGACTGAGTTAAACACGCGTTTCCTCTGAGTGAGCGTGTTTTCTCACCAAAAACCTATTTATTTGGTTTTGAAAGATTTCCACAATGTACTAGTCCCCTTTGTTACCTGTTCCCTTTACCTTGTCCGTTTTCCGTGAACGTTCTCCCGGTCACTGACATCTTTATTGGCGTTAGTGGCTGTGGTATTGCGGACGCCTTTGCAGCCGCCATCACTGTTGCTGCTGACCGCGATGATGATGGTGGTGATGCTGTTTACCACATGTGTGTGTACAATATGTGCTGGGGTACATTTTCTTTGTTTCGCATTGTACGTGACAATGACAAAGTATGAGGTATTCCTTCTGAGCCGGATTATGATTGATTGGAATCCCTCGGGTTTTCTGAAATTCTGATTGGAGACCTGAGGGATGCGTGTTGTTTGTGTGTTGGAGTGTGTTTCAGTGTACAGTAGTCGGTAATGGGGATAAACAGTTGCAACCAAAAGAACAATGGAAGACACTGTATGAACCTGAATGTTCCACTTGCCAGTCATATACTTCGCTTCCCGGTGACACCTCAGCATGTCTAGTGCTTGTATGCACTGCAATGAAATTCGTGGACTGATCTGGTTTCCAGTTTGTTCCCTGAGATTGACAATATAGTCGTCTCTCATCCCTATTATGCCTAATTTTGATACTAGTGAGTGGACAGTATAAACCAACGATGATATTTTCGTTCGCCAAATAATAGGTATCGAATAATCCAAGGGGGAACACACGAGGATTATCCATTTTGAGTGCTACCATCTGGTAAAAAAAGATCAGTAATGAATTATCTCTAACAAGTTAAATTTTGCACATCTGTCGTAAAGACACGTTTCACCGAGTCAACTTCAGTAGAATTTGGGTTAATTAGCGCAAGAATAGGAAATTTTGTAGAAACGTGATTCACTAGGCTAGTTCTGAGTTATTTTCAGAATAAGCAGTAACCAGAAGGCAGTCATTCAGAAATTTTCTCACAACCGTTTCGAAGATAATGCGAATCGACGGCTACACGTTGGATCCAATCAGGGGGCACTAACATGGAATCGATTTATTTCTTTTTTATATTTTTAACTACTTAAAAGTTACGGTTACCTAATAAGATTGACGTAAGGCAGGACATGGGTTATGGTTCTGTGAACCTTCTTACACAGTGACTAACCAGAAGAGATATGTCCGAGCACCTGGGACAACTCAGTTATTAAATTTCGGGTATCGATTTGCCATGCATTTTTGCTTGGGTTTCAGATACCACAACGTCCGTGTGTTGGCCAAATTCTGTTTTATTATGAAAAACTGTCTTATTCACTTCTTCTTTCTTATTGTATATCAGTTCTCAAGTTGACTGCCACGCAACCAATGCATCGTATACGAGAGGATTGTTTGAGGAATATGATGGAAGCTATGTGTTACTACAACTTTCCTGTCTGTCTGCCAGTTGGTACATCTGCTTCCAACACCGACAGTCGCCCGGTAGAAAATGAGATTGAATATCGTGCACATTATCTGTGCCGACAAGATTGTCACATGATCAAACAGAACGAGTGCAGTATGACTTACAAATACCTGGAGCGCACAATGCTTCAAGAACGTGAGTCACATTTCGTTGCTTGTGTTTCAACCGTACATCCCATGACTCAAGCAATTCTATACATCTAAACTGGGCTTATTCGCTCCCATTTCTCTAACTATTCTCTAAATATTTTTACCATTACTGACAGTGTCAGGCTCATACGTGCTTCGACATCAAAATTGAACGCTTATTGCAAAGTAACCACGAAACAGGTGAAGCAATGCAATAACCACTGGGAGCATGCTTTAACAACAGTTAGTTAAAGAGCTCAAACTCCAGCTCTTCACCGGAGCAACCATCTAGACGATAAGAGCAGAACAATGTAAATGCAACAGCAGGTTATCAGCGATCACCTCATCCTACCAGATCACGTGGTTCAATTCAATATTCACCTGATGGATCTTAATTTGCTCCTGTAAAAATTGCCCGTAGGCAGTACAGACTTAGAATCTCTTAACTGCCGTAACTTTGATATGAAACATCTTTTCCCTATGTTCGGCACTGGGTTCAACCCGACAGTGCAACAGCGCATCTTAACTAGTTTTATCAATGAAAACGTTGACCTAGTCTAAGCAGCAGCTTTGAATGCGACCAGAATATATTTCAAAATATTTCTGACAATCTTGAGTGATGAAAATGCGGTGGAAGAGAGCAAGCGGATTTCGCTGGAGCGCGAGTTACCACAGTTCAATTTTGCAAGCCCACCCGAAGCAGTTGAAACGGCAAACATATCCACTGTGGGCACCGTCATGTCATCCTCAAGTTCAACTAGTTCCGAGGCATTTCCCGTAATAGCTGAAAGTTTTCGTCCCCGAAAGCGGACTTCTTGGTTATCCACTGAGGGATTGTAACAGAAAGTGTCCAAATCTTCCAACAACGATGGACAATTTCGAAACCGCTGGCTAACATTCAATCCTCCTACTGGAAAAAGAGAATAAGTCACAGGACTCAATGCTCACTGTGTTCATGACACACGGGAGCAAAGTTCATATTGAATGTAGTAAGTCGGGAATGAAGAAAGCAAGTTTTGATTGAGCATACCGAAGGAGCTCCGAACTCTTCATTAGAGGCTCCAACATGTTGAGGTTAGGGATGGGAGTGAAGCGTAGTGTCTAATGTCCTCGCTTTTAGCAGCATCTAAGACAGGCACGAGTAAACGAATTTTCATTTTAGCTCTGTTTAGTGAATAAAAACTGTTATGATTTTCTGGAAAGGAGAAAGTGGTCAATCAAATGACGACCATGAAACGCACAGAGAATGGGAAATTTAGGCGGCGGTGATGTGATTCAAACACATCCCCCGGGGTGAGTAACGTTACCACCGGGCTACCAACACCTTACTGTTTTTCCTCTTTTCTTATAACGTGATCCAAGTTACGAGTATATGTTGACAAGTATAATATTTTCAGTTTCAATCAAATGAATAAAATATATTTTTATGTATTTTTGGTCCAATTCGTGTGTTTTTTCGGAACTATTTCAGAGTCTTCCACAATTTTACTGCGGATAGTTTTGAGAACACTCGAGAAAGATATTTCTCAGTCACGTTTCAAGCTCCTTCAGATAGACTGTGGGGGGAGATATTTCACTTTTTTTTTCCTTTTCAACTCTCCTTTATTTGAAAATATGCAAACAGTTGAACGCTTTATTCTATTAGCTGCACTCACCTTTTTCTATAAAAAGGAAAACACTCCGGTGATTCTGATGCGGATTCTCACAATGCCGACAGTAAAATCAAACACCTGGCTGTCTATCATCGACCAACCTGTCGACCAGCCTCTTCGGAAAGCTGTAGGTCACGCTTGTGGTTTAATAAACTGAATGCTATGTCTACAACCCAGACATTAATTTGAATCCACTCCAGGCACAGGTGTACAGATGCACCCATTCGGTTGATACGAGACTTGTGTGTTGCTATGTTCCGAGATTATTAGGGACCAGGAGGTCAATACTGTCCTCAGCCTATTCACACGAACACACACACACTGCCTCTCACTCTTGGTGGCATCTCTACCTCCAGGTTAAGATGATGCCTGATGACCGAGGATTATGGTGACGACCCTGACAGTGATGGTGGTGGTGGTCATCGNGTGGCATTTTCTCCTTGATTTTGCATCGTGCGACAGGCTTGGGGATGCTAAAGTGAATAAACTTTCACCAACCTTACAGTGCACGTTCTGAAATAAAATAGCGACCCACAGCGACTTTCAATTACTCGACAATAATTAAGATGGAGTAGGATGTGTGTTTGCTTGTGTATTTGTGCACTAGGGGGGACAGTAATGTCATGAACTCCGAAAACTAACTGAATGAAAGTTGATTAGTCTAATTCCACGGTTGACATCTCAAATCACCTGTATAGTGATGCTGGCGTGTGATACACAATCCACACAGAGACAACTTGATAATTTTGGAGGAGGCTAGATTATCGAGACAGTGCACGTTCGTGTTCTGGCAAATTGATAAAAATGAATCAGGTTGCCAAGGAGCATGAATGAAAATGCTGGCGAAATTTTGCCTCAACACATTCACGTATTAAAAAATGATTTTCCCTTAAACCCTTGGCCAATTCGTCTCGCCTTAGTTGAACTAATGTGAGCATGTTTGGTATGTAATGAGCACTGGATTGTTTTTTCTGACTTACGGCTAGAATGTTACTTTGACATCTGAAGCGTTCTACGATATCTGGGGCATACGGTACTGAATTTACTGAAAGCCCTGTAGTTCTAAGATTAAACTGTGAAAGAACTGACGACGGATCGTAATGAGTTTTTTCAAGACACCAGATGAAAGCTTCTATTTTTTGTTTATTTAATTGCACTGCTGATTGTGTTGCTTCCTTTTTTTAACATGCATTTTTAGTCAGTTTTCAGGAAGTGAACTGCGATCAGCCAAAGGCAACCTGAGGATATATAGAAATGGGGATGATGGTTGGCCGTGGGAAAGTTGGAACACATTTTGAGCGTGTGACTATGCGGATGTTTATGGTGGATAGGAAGCTTGATAATCGCGGTGGAACGCTCCAGACGGAACGGCTTTTTATAGAATCTGAGAGAAATAACTGGAGATATATTATATATATATATATATTGGTGCTTTCTCTCCAGAATCTATGGAACAAGAGATGAACAAATAAATTGTGTAACTGTGCCAACACAGAAGGAAGCAACTTAGCCCTTATGTTTAATGTTTGTATAATAACAGTAAAAGATAGTTCACAAGGCCTAGAAACGGATACTTCTACAGTATGAGGAGCTCAAAACCAACACTGCACTACTGGCGTTCAATAGCTTTTCTTTCATTTCTGAAGGATTGACTAACCTGTAATTCTTTTCGCCGTTCCATCTCTCTCTCTCGCTCCAGTACCCAGTATGATTATGAATTGCGCTCGACTTCCACTGTACTCTGCTGAGTATCCAACTGCTTGTCGTCGTATTGGTCAACCATTGCCGGTGCTTGTTCAAGGTGAGTTTTTTCTACTGTCTCTCCCAACGATTCCTTCGTAAATTCTCAAAATTCAGGGTATAAATCGGTCGATTAGTTGTGAACACCTAATGTGATGGAGTGCTTTTTCAAATGAAAAACCGAGTTGGCTTGTAAATAAGTGATTCAGTGCCATTCCAAGTGACCAACTGTGGCAATCCAATAGATAGGCGTGAGTGCTATAGACTTTATTAGGCACGGAAGGTTAGATTTCAATATGCAGAATGTAGAATCTGGTTTTGCCTACAGCGAAACACTTTTTCTGCAACTAAATTCACTCATGTATTGTTCTGTGATTGAGCAATCTCGTGGCTCTGTGGTAGCTTTGAAATGAGAATGAAGTCTGAAAGATAGATATTCAGCAACACATCCCCTGCCCGTACTCCTGGACCAAAAATTCAGCCTTTGTTCAGGAACCCAACGGAGCCTTCAAAAATTTTGTGTTTTGAATCTCTAGTATTTAGCGGTTTGCAAATCCATGTTGCCGGTTTTCTTTCGTATATATTGTCCTATATGTTGGAGGATTTTACTTACCCTCATCTTTCGATTTATATCCAACAATGATATTCCTGCCAAAATTGTGGTTTAATTGGTCTCGCTTTTAACCCGCTTCAAACCAAGTCCCTTGCATATAAAAATATAGCTTTTTGTACCAATTCATCAATGCAAGTTCTATAAAAACCGAACCGTTATTTTTCGAATCCCTTTCACCACGAACGCATAACTTCGAACAGCGATCAACTGATACCAGTAATATCTAATAGTGCTTTTGTTTTACGTTCTTTATTTTACGCCACACCATTGCTGTCCTACTGATTTTTGAAGCGTCCCGCGGCAGTCCGTCGTTTGTACAGTGAGGAAAATGAGGGAATAGGAAAATCGTGAAGTATTTTATTGCCACCGGTGTGATTTTGTTTGCTTCAACCTTAACTGCGACATTCTGTAGCTGCCAGAAATTCTGACAGTCGACGAATCGTGCACTAATTCATTGAGTGTATTGGTTAACGTAGGTTTCTTTTTGTTAAATCTTACTCAAGTTAATGTATTATTTATCCGCTTAAGTTGACAGATGTCGTTCTCACTCTCTATCTTTCACCCGCGCGAATCTAACTACGGACAGAAATCAGAAAAGTGTTTTCCATACAACTGTTCTATCCGGTCCGTTTTTAATCCATGCTGAAATACAGTGAGAGTAAGTGAGTTCAGATCACAGGTGTAATTGTAGGCAGAAAATGCGAAGACCGGACTGGTGAACAGAATAAGGAGTATTTCAATACATCGGGTGCCCATCTGTACCTAAAACATGAAATATACTACCAGTTTATTGTCCGTCGTTGGATTAATTTACCATTGCAATATACTTCTCATAGGTGACCGTTCCAAATGAAATATGAAACGGAAAATGCATAAGTGAATGAGCAAATGATTGGATATGACATTACTGAAAAATAAACCAGTGATTTTTTGTTATTTTTACTAATGACAGCACTTTTTTCAAACAAATATAGATGCTGTCCCCATCGCCGGAGCTCCGGAAGATCATGTCCCAGTAGCCGATCGTATTTACCGGAATAAGTTGTTAGACGGGGATACGGGAAAGACGGACGACCTGATGGATCCCCATGGAGATGTTGCGTTCAAACCGAAATCGGATTCTCGAGGTCAGGCGGATATGACCAACGGACCAGATCTTGTACCCCTGTTCGTGTCGGTTGGAGTTATGTTTGTTGTGGGTTTCATGCTGCTAGCTATTTGCTTCTTGTGTCGCCGTAATTGGGATCGATCGCCTCGTCTTCAAGCTGATGGATCTAGTCTACTGGGCCGAGGTCGCGGTACCGGTTCTGGATTCGGTCGACTGAATGGAGGTGGACCGTGCGGTGGAGGTCGGAATGAAAACGGAAGTGGCTCGGTGCCCGTCCGTGGGCAAGGGGTCGGTGCGGCCACGGATTCAGGGACTAATAAGAAGAGACGTGTACCTGGCATGGGATCTGGAGTTAAAGGAACAAAGAATGGGAGATTACTGACTAGTCTGGATGACGGTTATATGGTCGCTTATACGCCGGGGACTAATCACGTATTTGCGCATTCAGATTCCTCTAATAACCTCAACGGAACAAGCACAAATAATGGTCCACACAGTATCTCCTCCGGGCATAACAGTCAAGTAGCCGATCAAAATTCACATAATCTAAAAACGAGCTCAATGCCTACATACCACCAATATCAACCAACCAATTATGGCTCCGGTTCGGCGGGAACAGGGCCGTCTGCAGTGGGAGTTCCCCTACCATTGCCCCCACCAAACGCCCCAGCTCCACCACCACCAAATCCCCTGTCGATGGGGGCTTTGTCCCCGGGAAACGGTCTGTCTCACCTTCCTCACTCCTCGGTCGGGACTAGTCAAGAAAGTTGTTTAGGCGCTAATGGAGTTCACATGATCAACGCGCACGGTTCCTCCGGAATGACACAACTCGGTGCGGATTTTCACATGGATATGGGTATGCCATATGAGGCTAATGTGGTAGTCACGGCCGATAGTCCCACGGCCTATACAACATTGCGTAACTCTAGTCCTAATGGATTTCTTGTTAATGGACCCCAAATTCCGTATACTGTAAATGAAGAACGACCTACTCGGGCAACTGAATACCCTATTTCGCAACTCAGGTAAGCTAACTGTCTCATACAGCTCTTGGTTATCTCATACATTTTCAAGATACGCACAACTCATAAAATATTGTAAGCGGTGTTTTTGCCATAATATTCCTAAAGTTTCGAACAAATGGAGGCTGAATTTGTTTGTCCATATTTGAAACAACTGAATTATCTGAAAGTTTCACATTAGGAATTAGATAAACTGAAACCTACCACCAGTACCCAAACCCTGGGCTGTTGTTCAAGAAAATTTTCCATTGGTGTCCACTGAGTGGGCCGGGGCTGGGGAGCTGATGCAACATCCTGGTTAAAAGACCTAGCGGTATTAGACCTGGTACTCTTTTTCATGCTTTCCCCTATTGGTTTGGTAAGGCCACAATAGCGTCCTACAACGTTATAAATTTTCCTTTTCTCTCTCTCCCATCTAACAGTTTTTGGCGTTTGTTTCGTAGACTCTTTGGCACGATCTTAACAAGAACAGATGAAATGAGAGAATCAATTAGGGAATTAATTATTGCAAAGATAAATAAAATAATAGCAACCCTGATAATTATTTGCACACCTGAACACAGTGGTGCTCAATAGGCCAGACCAGATATTGGTTAACTCACCGCAGACTCAATGGGCATCCAGGTTATGCAACCATATATCCGAATTAAGTAGTTCCTCAGGCATCCCCCAGTAGCTTTCAGCCTATCAAATCAGCTATGCAAATTGTCTGAGGAAGTGGAAATGCGCGAAATTTGTTCACATGCGCTTGCATTTCAACTCTGCTCTAGGGTAAAGCCATGGCAAACCGAGAGAATACTCTATTACTAGTTAATTTAGTTGTATCTGAATAACTTCATTCATCGTTCGTCCCTCTGAAACTTCTTAAGCAGCAGTTGTGTGTCTACCGTTGGATCCTTTCAGTATAAAGACATAAACCACCCGAGAGGCTGACTGGGAGCTCAGAAATATTTTTCATCCCAGGCCCAACTGAATTTATGATTGCAAGTTAACACTCAGAGATGCTGAGCACATGTACGCTGGAATGTACCGTGAAAGCGATAGGAATGGGGTGATTGCAGTAATCTTCTTTCCGGATACCTGTCTCAAAATGGGATGTATGTGCTATTATGTAACTGGTTCGGTTTTCCTCAAGTGTAATATAGACCTGTAAATACTTGCGAGTGAAGAGTAGGCGGAAATTATTCAACAGTCTATCCCTTCCGAGAGCGGAAATTCACCGGTATAATAATTGAATAGATTATTATTCAGTATATTTTGAGTTTACATAATTATGGATATGCGTGACAACAGAAAATAGAAACAGTGTGAGGTGAACAAACAACTCTCATTTGTGTATAACCGTCTTTTCGCAACGGATCAACTGATTGGTCTGAGAAATTAGCGACCAATTTTCCCCCTGTCTCCAATAGACACAAGGCCATTGAACAGTGAGCTTGATCGAAACACATCTTCCTACTGCCTTGCTATCAGCCATTGTAATTCGCGACCTGCATTTCATTTAGAGATTGGCAACCTGCTGGATCAGTCCTTGCTCGAATTATGAGAAATGGCAAACCTGGATAAATTGAGGGATACCGACACCAAGTGCGACTTAAATTGCCTCTGAAGTGAATAATTGAATAATAAATGAATAATAAGTTGCTGACGTCTCAGCCGTTTAGAAGACAAAAGTTCTATTTCTATGGTCTTAGTGCACTACCATTTTCATTTTCATCAGTTTGAGTGTAAAAATGGATTGGTTGTGTACTTTTGGTGAATTCAGTGATAAAAGGAAATTACTGTACCATCAGATATATTCGTAGATTGTACCGATTTCGTCCATTTTCGACCTGGTACCGAGTACGCTGTCTTGGATGGAAAAGATGCCAAACTGGAATTGAACGAGAGTTCTAAAGATTACCGGGTTCTAACTGAATGATCCAATCACTTAGAAGAAACCGAAAGCGTTCTGTTGTGTAAGCTTGTCCACCAACCGGATACACAGAGCCGAAGATTTAACAGCGGCTGTAAACCAATGTGATCCATCACTCTTCATACGGCAAGTGGACGATGAAAGCCTTATTTATGTCAACGGGATTAAGTTTGTTTCTCTAACCCTTCCCTGGTTGAAATACCAAGCTTATAATTTGGAACTCGGTTACTTTACTACTAAATGAATTTTGTGATATGTCGTTAGTATGCATTTTATGAGATGCAGTAAAATTGACTAGTATATAAGTTGTGCAGCACCGTTTTCAATCGGATATTTTCATGTTCATTCCCAGAAAAGTTTGCCTCTGAATTCACTTGGCAGTTACTCATCAAAATCATCAAAATTTGGTCAAAATGATATCTGACTGACTACAAAAAAGTATGAGAATAACAGGCATCCTCATATAGGTACAAAGTTCATTGTGATCGCAGAATGGAGCATAAAGTCGTGAGTAAGTGCTGGAGCAACGGTGCACCTGAAAATTTACGTTATCTAAGTACATTGGTCATCACAATAAATTGCAAAACAGTCATGTGGCCTATAGCTCTACTTCTTACCGAAACGTTGCATCCCACTATCCGGTCATAGGCTTGAATCTCTTCCAAGTACAAATTAAATATGATTGTATTTGTTGAATCATTTTCATAGATGTCCTATATCTTCAGAAAATATTTTTCTTTTTATGAAGACTCCCGTAATTCAATATTTGGATTGTGAGTGCCTTTGGCTAACACATATCGATTACAATTAACTGGCCCCTACACTAACAAATTTATCGGTCCGCGGAACTACCACTACCACTACTACTGCTACTAGCTTTCTAGAGAAAGCATTCCAGTGTACCGCATTTTCTACCGCCATCACAAATGAGTCACAGGAACGTAACAATCACAAACGCGCACATCATTGTGGGATAAAACTGGACAAAGCAGGCGGTTTTTTAATGACACACCCGTTTGTAGCAACATAAAGATCACACACGACTCCACTTCTTGTGGTCCGTTATAGTCAGCAATGCTTGTTTGATTGCAATATCGAAATGACTCAGCTGTCCCATTAGTTTCCCTGATACAACTTAGGGGTTAGTGAAATCCTATGTAAAGAAACAGACTGCTCTTTTTATATTTGTCTTGTTCAACCTCATTCCGAAGGGGGATGCATGATTTGAACCAGAGGGCAAGATTGTGAATTAAAATTAGTCTTTGACCGATTTTTTGTGCTTAACTTGTGTGAAATATTCACAATGAGAGAAACATGTTTTTCATTTCTGATAAATCTGAAGCAAACTTTTTTAACCTAGAAATGGCGTAGAGCTGTTCGAATACACTCTATCGAATTAACCTTCTAACTATCTTCTGTCCTATTTTTCTGCCATAGATTTGGAAAACAGTTCGGCCAGGGAGTGTTTGGGCCGGTCTACAAGGCAGAACTGTTGCCAAATAACACCTATGAGAACGGTCATCCGATATCAGTAGTTGTGAAAACCTTATCTGCCGGCTCACCCGCGTCGTTGCAAGCTGATTTTCGCCGCGAATCTGATCTGATTGCAGAGTTGGATCATCCAAATTTACTCAGTTTGCTGGGAGTTAGTCTACAGCACCCCCCGTGGTGTATGATTTTCGAAGTGCGTCAGTATGTGGATCTATGCGAGTTGCTAGCTTCAAGACGTGCCACAAATGCGTCAGATCCGACCAGTTCACCATTGACAGAAACAGAAAAGTTACACGTTGTCGCTCAAGTTGCTGCCGGAATGGATTATCTATCTAGCCATCGATTTGTTCACCGAGACCTGGCTGCAAGAAATGTGCTTATCGTGAACGATCAATTATTTTGCAAGATTACTGATCTTGGTCTGGCTCGGGATTGTTATGCAAATGATTATTATCGTCTGCACCCGCACAGTCTGATGTTACCCATTCGATGGATGCCTCTAGATTCTATTATTTATGGAAAATTTACTGTGGAATCAGACATTTGGGCTTACGGAGTACTTATGTGGGAAGTTTGGTCTGGTGGAATGCGACCCTATGCAACCTATTCCGATTCGGATGTACTCGATCTAATCCGTGCACGACAGTTACTCTCAAGGCCCACGAACTGTCCGGCAAAAGTCTATGCATTCATGAACAGTTGCTGGCACGACGAATCTGAACGTAGACCCACTTTCAAGGATTGTTTGAATCAAATCTCCCAGTGGCAGTGCGACTTGGCTCTAACCGGAGGTCATCCGAATTGTGAAACGCTAACCTACTCCAGTCCAAGCGATTCTACCGGGTCCAGATCAGGTCGCATCCCTGAAGGTCCGCCCAACATGGGTCTGGGATCGGATCACAACATGCCCAATGCAGATCGCTACATGCTTTCAAACGGTTACGTACCAGTGGATTGTACAAAAATCAGTTCGGAAAACCCCGAACAATTTTCTCCCCATACATCAACCTGGTGTGATCAATACACGGTGGATGCCGATTGTCATGCAGTCAATTATCCCGGTGGATCTGTGGATGCATTCTCCCCCGGTTTGGCCCATCTGAGCCCAGATGGTGCCAGTGCTAACGGAAAACTTCAGTCCGTACCACATTTACCGACAATCAATAAGGCATGTCCGGTCAGCCGGTACGACGCTCAAGCAACAAATTCGGCACTAGGTATGCGTCTATTACCGAATACTACAACTATGTGTATCCCGACCGCAGATCCCGTCATTTAAACTAATGCTCCTTACCTTCACACTACTCCAACCTATCCACAAAGCATCCTATCTCTGAAAATGAACGAGACAAACTATTATTGGAAACAGTTAATTGATGTCTGATTCAATTTTCTTTTCCAAACATCCCTCATTTCAAAATACATCTATTACATAGGATCATTCATTGTACATAAAAGCATATATTCACGAATGTAAAGGACTACTCTCTCGCTCTCTTAGGATTATCAATTTTAGAACAGAAAACCATGTTCGTGGGAATCGCAGTGGGTTTGAGTCTGAAAACTGTGATAGATTTATTATTGGTTCAATATGTAATAATGGATATACATATATATGCGCCAATTTCTCTATCAAACAAAGCCCTTTTACTTCCGACTGTTCACAAATCGGCACACGCCTGTGTTTATCTCTGACTGGTTCCTACAAACATACACAAACACACACAATGTGGTTATTTCATTTTATATGTCAGCCTACCAACGCCTCAGGGCTGT